TATAATAGAATAGTTAAAATAATATAAAAAGTTAATTTAGATCATTTTTTATTTAATATAAAAAAATTATAAAGATTAATTAAAATTTGAATGATTTTATTAGAAGTAATTATTGATTTTTATATTGAAATACAAATCTTTTTGCACTGATTCATAATAGTTATAAATTTATGACTTATTTTCTTTTGTATGGAAAATACTCAATAATTTTTTTTTAATTTTAAATTTTTAGAAATAATAATATATTTTCCAATTATTCTAATCTTTCTTTTTATATTTATTAAAATATTTTTTATAATAATTTTTTTTTGTTGAGCCAATCACATTCTAATTAATCAATATTATTTTAGTCAATCATTTAATCAATATATTACATATATATAATAAACTTTTTATAAAATAACCATTATTGTATAAATAATAAACTTTTTACAAAAATAAATTTTGATAAATTTAAATTTTATTATAAAATCATTATATTATACCATTATTGTAAAATCATAACCTAAAATTAATTTTACTTTTTTAATAAATTTAAATTAAATATGTACTGCTCCGGACTTACAATGGTTTCCGTTTCCTAGTAAATATATAATGTGACGATAGGTTTTTGCATTAGCTAAATATATAAATATTCCTTTTGCAAAATGTAAAGATATTAATCTATGACGTTTTTCTGTTCGTTCTGGCAGAAAGTAAAGGTGGTTAAATTTATTTAAAATAAAATTATTTTACCTATTAATTTTATTTAACTATAAATATAAGTAAAGCTTTATGTTTAAAATTTTTATTTATTTTTTTTGTGTATACATAATTCAATCTTTTTTTGCGTGAAGTCCTTGTGTTCAGAAAGAATAGTTTGATTTTTTGCCCATTTGAATTAATTACTTTCTGCCAAATTTTTTTATTTCTCCTCTTTTCATCATTTTCTGATAATTCGTCAATAGCGAAAAAGTTTGCGCTCATCTGGAAGATTGCGGATCAAAATAAAGCTATCCCGGGGATATGTTAACCATTTATGCAACGCTATCTACAAAAATTCTATTGGGAACCGTGTAGGGTGGCGTAGAATCAAACTAGGGGAGCCATGGAGCTTAGTTGCAGAACTCATATGCAGGGATTTGGAACTTCCATATCTTATCATTGAAGAAGAAATTAAAAAGTAGAAAAAACTAATGATTTAATGTTTGTTTGGTGATGTAATAAAAAGAAAAGAACAAATTAAATTACGACTTTATGGTTGTTGACATAATATATAGGAATTAACATAATAATCATTACATTCATTACAATCATGAATTCCATATTTAAGTTCATTTTATAAAATGCGAATGCTTGAAATCAAACGAGATAATCGTTGTCGTTATATACATGTAAAGCGGTAGGTTGTAAATTTATAGTGTAGTATGGAGTAGGTTTTAATTCTATCAAAGTGGAAAATCAACGTATTCAAATCAATCATTAACGTGATTTTTTTTCGATGGCTCGAAGTAATAATACAAACAAACACATATTGATCCTACCAATACTAACACTAATCCCTAAATCTCATTGGTTGCTCAAATTTTTCACCACATCGTTCATTTATCAATTTTTCGAATATATATTTTTTTGTCAATAACTAATAATAGAAAGTGATGTGCTTCAATCGATAACTCTGAAGATATTCCTATCGATGAAGACTCGGACGACTTTGACTGTGTAGAGTCTTCATTCTTTAGACATATTTTTAATAAAAATAAAAATAATAAACATTACGTGTGTTGAGAAATAGGATCACCAATTATGAATCCGGGTTCGACGGGTAATATTTTTACCCGTGTCCCGCGGGTTAAATCTTCGGGTGATCCGGGCCGCATTTTTTAATCAGGGAATTCATAGAAGAGAGAATATGGAAAACTAAGAACGAATAAAGTATATATAAATTTACAAAAGAAAGAGCGAAAAACATTTTTATTATTTGCTGTCTTTTATGAAAAAACCTTAAGCAATCGTACCCTATAGTATACGTAAAAAACATGTATATGGCGCAATGAATCGTGGAGAGTCAGTAAAGACAGCCCAAGCTAATAGAGAAACGTTCAACTTCAACCAAAAGATTGACATTCGATGGGTTTTCCGCTCGTATATGCTGAGGCATACAAGACTCGGCAGAAGCTAAAGATAACAGACCTCTCCTTCTTGCGTACAGTTATTATAGCTATTTAGGAACTTCTTATAACACAACATTGTGATTGAAGCGGATCATCCGAAAAAGTAGGCTCAGATTTTATGAACAGCTGTTAATGGATCTTGGTCATTTCGTCATCAGCGATCGAGTGTTTAGTCAGAAATTCACGTGAAATCAAAGCTGCGGCGGGACATCTAATTTGACTTATCGTTATGTCATAATTCCTTAAAATGATGGTTAAACAAACAAATTAAAGGTCACTTGACTTAATAATAGTAATAACAAACACCAAATACACGTAAATAATAAATAAAAAAAGGGAACGAATGAAATTCTTTGTGTGTTACCTTAGATTAATTCCTATTTGCTCGGGTTTTCAGTAATTCGTCGGAAAAATGATGTGTGGGTGTTTAATGTATAGTGTGGTGGTGTGCACTAATGGAACTACTTCATTATGAAAGCTTTATTACCATATAGAGTTAAACGATTGAAATTTTTATCATTATTGTGTTTGTTCGAGAAGAATATGTCTTTCTTTGAACTAAAACAGGGTTATTGCCTGAGAAAATAAGCATCATCATCATCAATAAATCAACGAAACGCCAAGGACAAAAAACTATAAAAAAGTAGCAATATAAGTGATGATAATAAAAAAAAATTCCCCTCTAATTTTTTTTTATTAATTCGTTTTTGTATATAACAATACTAACTCGATAAACTGTATTATACTTTTTAACTGTAACCTTAAATGAATTTTTGAGAAATAAAAAAACGCGGTCACCACATCAATAATTAAAATAATTGCCAATTAGAAAAATCATAATATAAAAAATTTTAAATTAATTTATAATCAAAGCTGGTAATTATTCTTCTTCTCTTATTACTTTTTTCATCAAAGCAACTATTTACATATAAAAAAACATTACCCTCATTTTTTACCTTCTAATCACTACCTGTCACATCCCAAATTTAACTCTCTTCAATACAACACTAGCATTCTTTTCTGTTTTGGATAATAACCGGGACATAACTATATAACAAAAAGAGATATCGGGGAACAATGCCCTTAAATTTTGCATCGGTCGGACGAGTGCTGACTGGCAAGTTCTGGGGAAATTCTAATCGACAGTTATCTGGTTCAACAGACGCGACTTTTTCACATGGTTCGCATCTTTCTGACTTTCTTCATCTCACACCAGCATTACTAGCAGAATTAATACGGACGGTATGGTCAGCGATATTCTTGATTCTAGTCGGAATTTTTCTCACCTTCAACATACAATGGTCCGACCAGCGGTGGAAAAACTCAGGCGACGACATGAAACCGTTGGTCGATTTAGGATTCAGAGTTTTGCCCGAGACTGAAAAGGTGTTTTTGGCAGACATGTTTATGTTAACGTTACTGGCAGGTTCGATCTTTTTCACGCTTTTTATGGCGGAGTCGAATCGTGCAAGAATTATCATTGTGCGTAGGTTGTTTTGGTTGCTTGGTCTTTTGTGTTTTTTCCGTGCTATTACGCTGTCAGTTACTACTTTACCGAGTCCAAAGCATTGTAAGCCGGTCGATATTGGGAGTTTTTGGTTTATGTTGAAACAAGGTGTGCAACTGATTCTTGGTGGTGTTAAAGCTTGCACTGATAATATCTACTCTGGTCATACCATTTTTATAACTACAAGGTAATTAAATTTACATACTTTTATTACCGATATTATACGTTATCACATGCTGATTCTGATTATTCTTCCATAGCGTAATTCTTCTTCGCATATATTGTAAATACCCATACGTCATATATTACTCATATGCACATGGCATAACTGGAATATGTTTACTTGTTGCCACACGCCTTCATTACACCGTCGACGTGATACTCGCAGTATTTATTACTTACGCGACTCACTCGATCTATTTCTTCATCGTCGATCTATGTATCGAAAAACACTTTCTGCATATACGACGAGCAGAAGAAAGACTCGGTGACAAAAATTTATATCAACGAGTCGCGTATATGCCAAATATGTTTAATGTGAGTCTGGTGGGAATTGTTCGATGGATGGATGGATTGGATATTAGATTCTCGATGGAGGATGAACAAACTGTTGCGCAGACTATTGAGGTGTCGCATCATCGGCAAGAAGCGTTGGCTGCTGAACGGGGAATAAATGTTACGATTGATAATGGGGATAGTAATCAGCACGAAGAAAACACTAGTGATGATAATCATAGTCATGAAGATGGATCTACTGAAATGAGAGAAGTAACGGTGAAAGTTCCGGAAAATGCATTATTAGAAGCAAGAAATCCACCCACAGCATCATCATCGTTGTCATCTTCAACGATAGAAGTTATCACATCTGGATCAACATAATAGCGTTAATTGCAATCTCAACTTTTTTCCCGGGGGGGGGGGGGGGGGGGGGGGGAAGCACTTTAAATTTGGGAAAAAAAACAATTGGTTCTTGACAGGTTAAATACTCAGTTGACATCACTATTTACCCTTCCTTATCTAGAATTTACCAAGAATAAATGTATTTTTATACTTAGTTCCTTCTGCTCTTTTCCTTCACACATTTCTTTACATCACCTACACAGTAATAATAGGCGTAGAAGAACTAAACCAAAAATTTCTTAATCGTGGTTGTATAATTTTTTTTATACACCTACCATACAGACACACGTCATGCCATAGATCTATACACGCACGGACTTTATGTATGTTTCTTTTAGAACTAATGTAATTATATCGTTTCTATTGATCTATTGAAACTTTAAACTTTTGATACTAACTTATAAAAAATAATTTTGTAAATGCTTAATGTTAATAAAAATATATAAAGTAGATGACAAAGTTAATGTAATTTGCAAAAAAGATGAGATTATTTTGCTATCGGCGGGGATTTCTTTGAAACTCACCGATGCATATAACTTATTCACTATGGTAGAATGGTCATATTTTAGTATAATGTGTTCTCCGAAAATTTTTCAACAGGTGACGAGTAACGGCATTATTAACTACCAGAACAGCAACAGAAAAGCTGCAGGAAGTAAAATTAATATTGACTGAAACTTTGAAAGGAGTTCCAGTTATCAAATTAATTAATTAATATATCATTATATGAATTTATCCAATTAATTGAAAGGCTGCTTATGCATTAACAAAGAAAACTTACAAATATATTTAATATTAATAAAAAAGCTACTAATCTATTCTTAATTATTGAGCTACCTATATCGATTTTCAGGTATTATTATAATTATCTTATATTTAATGTGAGGAATCATAATGAAAAACCGGATCATGCTGAAATTATTATAAATTTGATCAGATTTATTTATAGTTCTGGTCAGAATTTTTAGCATGATCTGATTTTTCTTCTAATTTCACATATTTAATATTTTAAAATTATAAAGATTTTAGAAATTACTAATATTAAAATTATTTTAAAATTTTGTAAATAAGTTTTTTAATTATTAAATAAAATAATAAGTTATAATATATTCCTTACAATAATCATTAAAAGTAATACAATGCTTAAATTTTTTATTAATTATAATTAGTAAAAAATTTAAGCATTGTATTACTTTTAATGACCACTTTATATTTCATATTTAATAATAAAAAATAAAATTTAAAATTTAATATTAATAAAGTGAAAATATATTATAAAGTTATTAATAAATAATATATAGAGTTTCTTAAGAATTATTAATTATAATATTTATATATATACATATATATATACACATATACACACACATACACACACACATATATATATATTATTAAATAATTAATTTTATAATTTTTAAATCTTATTTTAATATATTAATATATTAATTAAAAATATAATAGTATAATATTATAAAAAATAAATTTTATTTAAATTTAGCTTATAAATAAAATTAAAAATAAAAATTAATTATTTATAATAATAAATAAGATTAAGTTATTTTAAAAATTTTTTTATATTAATATTATTATCTTTTTAATATAATTAAAATTTTTATTTTAAATTAAATATAAAATATTTTATTAAAAATTATATTATAAAAATAAATAATATTATATTTAATTATTTAAAATATAAATAAAAAACTATATAGTAATTCTTATAATTATGAAATTAAAAAGTTAATTTTATTAATAAAATATAGTAAAAAATTAAAATTTTCTTTTTATATTAAACTTTATAATTTTATAAAGAAATAATTTTTATTTTTATAATAAAATAAAGTTCATAAATTATAATTTAACATATATTTTTTTTAGATTTTTTAGATTTTTTCTGAAAAAATTATTCTAATTATAAAGTTAATATAAAATTTTTTTATTAATTAAAATAAAATTTAATTAATAAAAATATAAAAGTAAAAATTATTTTTAATAAAATTATAAAGTTTAATAAAAAAAGAAAATTTTAATTTTTATTATATTTTTATTAATAAATTAATTTTTTAATTTTATAATTATAAAAGTTATTATATTATTATAATAATATAAGTTTTATTAATTTTATATTTTTTAAAAATTAAAATTTTTAATTAATTAAATATTTCTTGAAAATTTATTATTTAAAATAAATATAATTTATATATTAATTATATTAAAAACTTATTAATAATTTATAAGTACTTATATTAAATATTTATTTATATTCTATTAAATTCTTATAAGTTATTTATTAAATATTTTATAATTTTATTTATTATTATTTATATTTAATTATTTTTTATTTATATTATATTTTGAATTTTAATATTTATTTTATTTTTAATTAAAAATTTATTAATTACTTAAAAAATTTATTAGATATTTATATAATTTATATTATAATAATTAGCTAATATCTAATAAATATTAATACTTAAAAACTTAAAATAAATATATTTAAAAATTTAATTAATAATTAAATTTTACTTATTTTATTATTTATTTTTATTTATTTTT